CATAGGTCGTCATGGTTGTATGGCAGCGAAGCATCAGTTCAAATGGCTGATGCACTGCTGTTGATGATGATGTTGAGGATAAGTCGGATGTCTGCGGGATTAGGTACTGGGCGGTAACATGTGGAGTGCTCTGTAGTCCCCACAGGGACGCCAGTCACCGGATTTTTTTGGCATCATTTACACTGGTGCATTATTCCCAGTTGAACCATTTGCTCAAATTCTGTCTTTACTTCTTTGAGTTTTTCCGGGGCTAGCTTACTAGTGCAGGGCGAAACAGGTGGAACCCTCATTTGAGCCATGGAGTATGACGCTGACATCGGCTCCGGTATCTTTTTGGGAGCTTGGTACCAGAAGTTGAATCCCTAACGCGGTCGATGTGACTTTAGTGTTGGTCGGTCGCGACTGTCGCCATTGCGAACAGGCCGAGTAGTTTTTCTGCTTCTCGACGAAGGTGGAGGACTTGGGGCATTCGCGAGCTGCGTCACCAAAACGTTGGTGATTCCAACAGCAAGCTGGTCTCCTACTGGATTTAGAACGTCTTGAGGGCGACTTCGACCGCCTGGGATGACGACAGTTCACAGTGAGCTGCTAGACTTGGCGACTAAGTATCGCAACTTGTGTTTGCAGGGATTCTACCGTCGACCAAGCCGGTGATAGAACTGCCACAAGACGCGACGGCATTGACCTTATTGGTGTTGGCTTGTGGCTGGGATTATTCGAGGATTCGGTCTGCCAAATCAGCTAGTTAGGTGAGCGAAACTGAACTCACGATGGCAAAAATCGCTTGCGTGTTTTCCGTTAGTCTTCGTAGCCATAGTTCGTGAAGCAGTCTCGTCCATAGTCTATGGACCAAGGAGCCATTGCATCTCTCGTCGAGTTGAGAGCACTTTGTCGCCTAACTACGGATCTTTGAAAAGCTGCTGCAGGTGGACGTCTTAAGAGCGCAAGATGCGCTTAATCGTGACCTCCGTAAGGGCCACATGGCAGTTTTCTGTCTGAGAAAAGACGATGACATGAACCTGCGTAGATATCTCCTTGGGGAAATATGACATGCTTGCTACACTTAGCGTAGTCAGAAGTAATTCTGTGCTTATAAAATTTAGCCTGCAGATGAGCGAGCCACGAAAGTTAATCCATGACCCAACGACGTATGACAGATACGACACCAGCGAGAGCCACATCTTTATGGTCTACAAAGTCCATGATAAAATGGGCACAAATGATTCTACCTAGGCAAAAAATAAAGGGGAAAAATAGAAAAACTTTGCACAGAGCTACCAATGCTAAATCCCGGAACTCCTATGGGAGTATCATGAAACCATTTTGAACACAACGTGTCATGGAGATGAAGGGACCTTCCTCTTCATGCAGCTTCGTAAACATTTCCCTCTGATCCGGTCCACTTACTGCAAGAAGTTAACTATAAGCGAAGTGCTGTATGAGACCATTGGTGAATTGATCCACCATCGTCAACCTCGGTGTGTATATTTGGTGGAGCACATTGCACAGCAGTTCAACTAACCCTTACTGCTCTCAATTTCCTATTCTTTTGTCCAAGTGATCCACAGTATGTAAGCACCTCAACATCATCCGAAACTTAGCTTTCCAGGGAACCGCTTGTTCTGGAGTGTTCCAAGCTTTCTGACCGGACGACCTGCCTGCTCTTTTCAGATTTGGAGACCCGTTTTTTTGTGAATTAACTTCCTTCTTCCAAGAGAATTGGACTACATAATATTCCAGTGACAATAACAGAATCCGAATTTAAAAGTTCCGATCGCATATCTATGCACTAAAAGCGTCAACTGCGTTAAATTCTGATCGCCGTTACTTACAGAACATTGCTCGTATCGAGTGGTACAACCACATGTACGACGGCGAGGCGCACAGTTGAAGGCTAAGCAGTAGTGGTCGGGTCGGCTCATTGGATCAACAAATGCAATCAAACAATTTTCGTCAGTTTAGGCATATGTTGCAAGTTCCAACTCATCGCCCTGCGAGTTGGGCATTGTTCATCGGATAATGATGCCGCAAAGGGTGAAACATTGAGTCACTACCACCCGTCTTAGGTACTTTTGATTTGTTTCGATTTACTGACTGAGGTCTTTGCGACCTCCATCTCGTGCTTGACTCGAAATACCTCGGACATTACGCATGACAGTCACCGGTGACATGTCTGTGATCTCCGAGTTGGACTATGTTGTTTGGTACCGTTGTATGTGATATAAGTGCCCCATGCTGAGGCTGATGTTGCATTCTTGATGCTACTTCACCGTAGTTGAGCTAAACCACCTTACACATAAACTAGGTCTTTTTAAGCTGGATAAATTTCAATCTACTTTATTTGGTTTGTTCTGCCTACCTGAATAATCTTCTTTTAACTGGCCACGTTGCTTACGCTAATTGCGCTTATCTTCGGTGACTTTTTGCGTTTGCAGCATTCTCAAGTAACTTATGGACATTTCTTACTTATTACGTATTCGTTCTGATCAACTTACTTCATATGGTAATTTAGCGCAGAGTTATGCCACCGTATCTGTATGCATAAGTGGATTTATTTTATCTCGTCATTTCCAGTGAATGGCTGTTGCTTGATATCCCCGGTGTGGCTGCGCTTGATGTGCATGTTGACAAGGTGCCTACCTGTCTATTACCCACTATCTCGTTCATACTGGCTCCAGGAGACAGTTGGTCGTTAATGAAGGGGACGAGGCGCACGGTCCTTGTGGTCGTGCTAGGCTCGAAGAGCTGTTCCATGCACTCAGTGTGGAGCGGACTACGGTCCAGCCACCGCGTTGTGTGCGCTTGATTCCCCAAATACAGCGTGCTTGTGTTTGCCTGTGAAGGAGTGTGGGCCGGCTCCGTTGATGAAACGTGGTTCCCATCCGCATGCCTCCCGGTCTTATTCCTTCGAGTTTACACTGGATATGGGGTGTGTGGTTGGAGCTGTGGGTGGTGCAGTGCAAGCCACCCATGGTTCCTCTGTAGGCGCAGGCGTCCTGTGGTAGGTCACAGTGACAGGCAAATCCGAAACCGGATGCTGCCAACCATGTGATATAAAGCTGCTCACGACTGATGCTTCGGACCGCTCATCAGTCTGTTAAGTGTATCACTCAAAATACCCACTGGCATGATTTATTGAATCTGGAAAGTGTGGAAATACTTGCGGCAGATTAACATTCAGTCTCGGCGCAACGGATCCTCAGTCAAGTCATCTACTTTGCTTCGGTCAAGCTAGTTACAGCCTTAAAGCTCCATCCTTATTTTTCACGCACTAACCTGAATGAACTAGCGAACTCGCTTGTCGTTTTCATAGGACATTCGAGGCGATTATAACGCATTCGATTTCATTCGTCCACTAGTGCTAGTTGTCGTTACAATCCATATTACTTTTGCATCTTTGGTGATGAACACAAATGAGTATCAGGTAACTTCTTAGTTTCGCACTTCACATAAGTCGAGTTTGTCACGCTGCTGATCGCTAAAAGACATGGTACAGGGTTTCTTCTCATCCTTAGCCCAGTACTCCCATGTTTTCGAGTATGTTCCGGCCTCGGGAAAATTGCTCCTGTGAATTCTCAATATTTTTGATATATTCTCTGATCAAGCGAGTGACGAGCCACGCGGACAATATTGTCCTGTAATAAACTGCAACACAATAAATTTTTAGATTATTGTTTCGACGTCTCGCTCGTTTTAACTTCAGGGCACCACCATGAACCGCGCTTATCCTTGATGGAAGACCGGAGGACTTTCGATACTCTCGAATAACCATTTCATCCCCGATGCTGTTAAATTGATTTTGATAAAACCAATATTTTCCCTAGATAGATTGGTCTAGTTTGAATCAGACACAGCTAATCGTTAAATAACTTTCATAGCTAGTAATTTGGTGTTGCCCGCTCGAAAACACTGAACTCCTATGACGCGTTTCGATCTCGTCATCGAACCCGGGACCATTAGGACGTTAGTAGTGACCGATATCCCTAAGCCACCGGGTCACGACGAGCAACGCTTGGCACATCATTTAATGAGTGATCTTGAAACTCATTTTGTAGTACACGTGTGGATAGATTTCTATCTGCTTCAGCTGTGGTTCTCGTGATTGAAGACCAAGGTTCACTTCAATGAGAATCGCGGTCAACACTGAGATTGCGTGTCGAAATCCATCCACACAACGTATACTACAAAACGACTCAGGATCGAGTTTTCATAGGTATTTAGGCTTGTCGATTGGTGAATGGTTGGTATAGTGTCCCCAACTTACCTTTTGAATCTGCGTAGATGCGCACGGTATCCTTGGTCTACACACGACTAGGAGTGGTCACGTGACAATGAAGCGCGTCACGGCGTACTGCTGATGTTTGTCTTTTACTCGTTTAACTATGCTTCGATGACCTTCCAAATAAGTCACATCACTTGAATGCGGCCTAGTTCTCCATCGGCTTTGTTGCTTAACTTGTGCCTGTTCTTTTCTTACGAGCAACGCCGAAAATACCTCTGATGCTTATGTGGCCTGGATGACCAAACTGGTATTGCACGCAGTGTCGGGCAAACGATATCTATCTAACTTTCCACCCCAGTTCTCGAACTGATAGGAGTTTACTCCAAATTAACTCATTCTAACTTGTGGTTGCTTGTCGCAGTCCAGAAGTAATAGGGGTTCTAATATCTTACAACGCGTTTTCGACTGCTGTAGCAAGCGTCGCACGCGGAACTTAGTGGCCTGGAGTCACCCACATTTAACCGCCACCTTGATCCGGTTTTTGCTCTTAGCTTACTCTGAAGAGTCAAAACAAGTACAAATCCAAACACAGTGCAATCATGAAAGCGAGCAGCGCCGAAGCTACCACTGACTTCGTTGTTTTCGAAAGTTGCACGACGACACGTCCTGCAGTTTTGAAGTTATTAATTCCTTTCCCATTTTTGTTCACTGATTTCGGTAAATGCGTTTTCAACTTCGTGTCTTCTATTAACCCTCTCGTTGCATTCGTTCCCTCTAGGTCAGTATCAACGTTGACGGCCCACCTCCACCTGAAGACACTCCTCGAGTTCCGCTGCCTGGCGCAGGTGCTTGGGCCGGCGCTGGGGCCAAACCACTAGCAGGGGTTGCTGTGGGCCGCGGTATGCCCCTTGCCACTCCGGCAGCTGCTATCCCGCCTTCGGTCCCCCCTGCCGGTCTCGGTGCTCCTGTATGGGGAGTTGGTGCACCCGCCCCTGGCCTTATGCAGCCTCGATTGGCTCCCGGTATGCCTCCTCCCCCGCCGCCACCCACCAGTGCTCAGCCCGGCGCAATACCAACTACGGCTGCTTTCGGACGAGGAATGCCTCCCGCTGCTATGGGACGTGGTTTTCCTCCTCCACCACCTCCTTCGGGCTTCCGATAACTACCGACGTCATGTTGAACTGCATTTATCGGTCGATCCTGAATGTCAGCAACCTTTTAATACATATTGTCTCGTTTGTATTCCTCGCCTTTTTGTTCGGTTTCTCTTCGGTTGGCAGCGTATTCGCTAGAATGCTTCCCGTGACGCCTCATTACCGCCACTGTAACGATAGCCACTGTGACCATACTTCTCAACTGGGTTCGCAGTTTAGTCGTCGCGCAACACGTTGAGTATTTGGCTTTTACTCCGCTTCCTGTTCTATCCGTCAAGCATAGGTTGTTGGTTATATTTACCAATGAGTTTTGCCTGCTCTCATATAGCCTTATGCTTACTGCTCCCTGTAAATTGTCATTCCATCGTCTTGTAGCGTCATCGCAGCCAAAATGGGTTATCCATCTGTTTGTTAGAGGTTCAGATCATCAGCCTTTTAGTTTTAGCAAATTCCCAAACAGTGCTGTTTGTATCACACTATTCGATCTACCTACAACAAAGCTGTCCTCCTGACGGCCCGCATGACATAACTAGCATTAGTCCATTTAACCATCTCTCCGATCACTTGTTTCTCTTTGCACTCTAGATAAATTACAGCAATGTGTTCCGACGTGTTCCCACTGTCTCAGCTTGTTTATTGGAGGATCTCAGAGGGCATTCTTAGGAGCCTCTGAGGTGCATCATCCCGTTTTTTTGGGTAATCATGGTTGTATGTGGGCTGAGATACTGCCAGGGCGCCCAGACCTAGACAGGAGGACAATTAGGGTCCTCATCCAAAGCCTTTGGCTCAAAAGCGTGTCCGCAAGACAGCGGAGTGGCAGTGATTTAGTTTTACAGAAATGGACGCCAACCCATTTCAAACCCCCAACCTGGAGGAACAGGAGACTGAGTTTGTCTAACCTCTCACCATTGACCAACCTGGTAGGAGTAGCTCTCAAGATGCTCGGAGGCATCACCCAGTATAGCTCAATGGGTCAATGAGGTACGCAAACCGTCGCACCACGTTAAGGTCCAGTCTCGTTGCGACGGGTTGGAGTCCACGTGACTCACCTTGTGCTTGGCTCGAGACTTTACAGGACATGGCTCGCAACCGACACCAGTGGCGCGTCTGCTGCCGTCTCCTAATCGGATTGCCTGTTTAAAGTGTGTTTGGTGCTGAGTTATCTGCGGGGTAATGGCTGATTATGACGCGTGGCAGTGAAAGCCGCAAGGAAGCTGTCTCGCCGATGCCGCCTTATCTTTGCACGATAGCCAGCTGTTTGTGACGGCATGTTGTCTACACAAGGTGTAGGCGCCTTGACCCTGAATGTTTGCTTAGGGCATTAAGGTTTTCAGCTAAGTCCCCCTTCTCTCCTTCTTCGTGTTGTTTATTTCATAGGTCCTCATGGTTGTATGGCAGCGAAGCATCAGTTCAAATGGCTGATGTACTGCTGTTGATGATGATGATTTTTTTGGGTAATCGCAATTTCACTGTATGACGAATATACAAGCTGGTTTAACCATCTTTGCCAGTGATCTTATCTTCATTCACAACCATAGCATGTCATTACAAATGTCCCATGGGAATGAGCCAGTATTGCAGCAACGCTTCGCTTCATTTTCCTATTTCTTTTCTGTTACAGTTACCCTGTGACAGATTTCATCGAGGTTTAAATAAATAAATAAAAAATTTCCAGGATGTTTTGAAGCACGCCATATTGGACATGATCAAAGTTGTTTGAGTTGCTTACTTTGCATCACTCACAGCTCCATCCATACACCCCATACCCAGGGTGAACCCGAAGGAGTAAAGCCGGGAGCCACCTTTCATCAGCTGAGCCGGCCCCGCTCCTTCAACCTACACAGAAGCAGCATTCTTGTCTATCTAGTTAGGGAATCAGACGTACACAATGCAGTTGCTGGACCCTAGCCCTCTTCACACTGGATGGAACCACTCTTTGAGTCTGGCACGGCCACAAGGACCGTTCACTCCGTCCCACAGCAAAGACTAACAGTCTCTTGGAGGCGGTAATCGAGGCAGATGGTGTTCGACAGGCAGGCACCTTGTCTACCTTCACATCAAGCGCAGCCACACCGGGGATGCCATACGACCAACCTAGCATTTGGTGGAAGATAAACACTCAACATTGACACGGAATATGCAGCAGAATAACAACTGAGCAAATCATATAAAGTGGAATCATTATCATGCTGGCGGCCGGTAGCCCAATTTATCATAAGCCTGCCTTGTAATCGAAGGGGGGCGGCTTCGAACCTGTGTTGGGACCGGGCGACCCTCGCTGTAGCATTAGCCCACGTGTGACTAGTGGTGGTTGCGCGGCGGGGTAGCGTCGGTACTGCTTACCGGTGTACTGCTACTGCCTTTAATCATCAGCAACAGCAGGACATCAGCTACCCGAACTGAGGCTTTCCTGCCGTACAACTACAATGATCTACGGATGGAAGAATAGTACAAGGGATAGAAGGGTACCTAACGTAAAACCTTAGTGCCTTAAACAGTGGTTTAGGGTCAAGACACCTGCATCTTGTCAACAACATACCGTCACAAACAGCTGGCTGTCATGCAATGATATGGCGACATCGGCGACACAGTTTCCTTGCGGCATAATCAGTCATTATTCCTCAGTAACTTAGCACCAAACATACTTTAAACACACAGTCCGACTACGAGATGGCAGCAGACGCGCCATTGGTGCCGACTGCGAGCCATGTCCTGTAGTGTCTCGGGCCAAGCACAAGACGGGTCACTTAGACTCCGGCCTGGAAAACGAAACGGGCGATGGTGTATTCCGCAAGTTAACTAACTTTTTGGAGAAAAAGTCAATCTTTGTTTCTCTTATCACGAAGTGAAAAGAGCGCTCTCATCACAAGCCACTACTCAGCATGCTTGGACACTTTCCCACAGCAAATGATTTCAGTTGCATTAAATGATGTCTGACTTCATCTTCTTTTGGGTTTTCGTGATTTTCGAATAATCGTCACTCGGTCCCTCATCAGTATCATCAGGTGTTTATGTTCGTAACGTAGTGCCACAGTCAGTATCTCTCGAAGAATAACATCTTGGTCTGCTTCAGTGCAGGTTACCAAGTCCTTATCCATTTCAACAAACTCTTTAAAATCTATTCCATCGAATTCTACCAATGCAGATGGAATGTATTATAAGGCAACAGCACCCCGCTCCAGAGATTGAACAAATCCGGCTTTTCTGAAACACTGTATTATTTCTGGTTAAACTTTAGACCAACCGGAAATTATCCAAAGCACAGCATCCAATACATTAACTGAAGCAGCAGATGAACTTCCTTCCTCATAAGAATCATATGCAATTTTGCCATAGCCCATTGCATGAGCTGGCGGCGGTAGTGCATTTTGAATATTTTTATGATCCCTTGGTCCATTGGTTGGATTTGTGTGGTCATGTTTGGAGGCAGATACTTCATTGTAATATTTGTGGGATTTCTCACATTGATGTAACTAGGACAGTTGTCCACTGTTAGGATAATGAAGCGTTTCTTCATTATTTCCTTGTCGATACTTCTGATCCCCTCAAATATGGCAGCAGGTAACTGGAAGGTTTTCAGGATTCAGGTTCTTGAACGCACATGGTCTAGCTGATTTACCAATGACCAGGGTCTTTAGCTTATCCTCACTTAAGCTAGCGCACAACAGAGTTGTGCAATATTCGTTGTTATGTTTTCCACTCTTGCATTTGACGCCCATCACAAAGAGACCACACTCGTCAGCTTTGAAAATGTCGGCATTGTTGGTGACCTTGTTGAAGTTGGAAAATTTTTGTTGTAGTCTTGAACAAATACTTGAGGCACTTCATTGGATTCAACACACAAAACTCGTTGAAAAATTTCATGTTGACGTTTTCATTTATCTAACCAACCATTGTGAGAATCTTCAAGCAATTTTTTGCATCATCCGCTCAGAAATTCCATCGTTAGCTACCCACTTTTGCTTGAAGCAGCGCAGCGTAGCCTCATTGACTTCATCCTATGAAGTTTCCCGGCTCTTCCGCTGTAGATCTTTTTCATTATGGTATCTCTCCAAGTGCGTATGTTTATGTCTTGTTGACACCAAAATGCTACTGCTTTCCAGGAAATGCAACTGGCTAATCTTTTCCTTCATCTCAACTCTGAGGCCTTTTCTTTTGGCCATAATGTTGAATTACTCGTAATGACCGATTCTAAATTGTTCAAAGCACGGTGTGGATCTAAGGCCTACGATTCTATTTACGTTTTATTAATTACATACAATAAGTAACCTCAATTGATTTCAACTTTAGGCCGACACCAAATAAAGCCGGACACACGCTCGAAAATTAATGTGAGCACAAGCGTCAATATTGCCACAATCCAAGATGCTAATGAATCGGTGCTTAGATCTACTGGTTAATCATGGGTTTGACAGCCATTCAAACTCCTGCTTGCAGCCTGTGCGATGAGTGGACAAATGTTCTTACGAGTAGACGAAGGTTTGCCTGTGTACGTGGACTGGTGAGGGAGGTTGAACACAACTCGTTCTAGGTCATTCCGTCGGCTCGGATTTGTGCGGACCTACATAGATCTAGGTAATACGCGTGCGCTGCACGCCGTGTTATCGGAACAAACGAGCCATTCGGGAACCATTGGATGGTAAACCCTCAAATGGTCAATTTATAGAGGTTGAAACATTACTGACTGTCGTAGCCCAAGTGGTCAACATACAACTTACAGGGGTCTGGTTCCATAGGGACCATACAAGCTATGAAAAAGTGGTCAATATAGAGAGATGGTCAACTTTGAAGATTTTACTGTACTAACAAGGACAACAGATGCGCTCGTAAAGAACTCTTATAAATTCACACGTAAGGAGGTAGTTCTGACAGTCGCGTCAGGTGACATAGGTCAGCTTCGAAGTTAGCTCACTACTCACTAACATGCTTGCGAGTGGCGCATTGGGAGTAGCACAGCGCCGCCTGACCGAGAACAGTAGTTTGGGAGAAAGAACGAAACTCACGGCAAGCCAAATAGCCTAAGGAATGATAGTATGCCTTGGCATGACATAATTCACGTTCCAGTCGAGGCTGTACGCTCAGGAAAAA